GGACCCAGATTTGCCCAGGGTCTGCTTTGCATCTGTTCATCAGAAACACAAACACTGGTGACCATCTGTTCTGCAGAGAAATCTCACACCCAGTCATGGACTGTGACCATCTGGAGACCAGCTGCAATGGCTATCTCCAGCAGAACAACAAGCATTCCAAGGGACAATCCCTCGCCCTCCTCCCAGCCCCAAGTCGAAAGAAGGAACCTTCTAGCCAGGCTTGCCAGGAAGCCAAGTTCACCACGAAATGAACTGGGGATGCTCTGGGCCCATGGCTGGCACTCAGCAGTGCTCCATGCACACAAACTGACTGTGAACACCTTGGTTCCCCTACACAGGTTGGAGGCATTGAAGACACCAACCAGATCTTTGGCCTGAGCGAGACGGAACCCAGCTCCTTCCTGTATTACAGCCCCTTTGACGGCATTCTGGGTCTGGCCTACCCCAGCATTTCTGCCTCTGGGGCCACACCTGTCTTTGACAACATATGGGACCAGGGCCTAATTTCTCAGGACCTCTTCTCCGTCTACCTGAGCTCGTAAGTTGGGTAGGGGTGGCCTCCTGAGAGGTCATGATCACCTGGTCCAGCAGGGAGTAGTCCAAGGCTAAGCAGGGTGGAGAGGGTCTTGGAAACAAGGGATTTGAAAGGTCAGTGTCTACAGCTGCAGAAGTAATGCTGCCAAATCTCCCTCTGATGAACTTTCTTCATTATGTCTTATTTTACCAGCCTGAGTTTTTGTCACCTTGACTTACCACTCACACGCCATTAGCCATTTGCTCTCTAGCACCAATTCCCTCATCATTGACCTCCCTCAAAAACAAAAAAAACCCAGTTGCTGTTGAGTCAACTCCGACTCATGGCAACCCCATGTGTGTCAGAGTAGAACTGGGCTCCATATACTTTTCAATGACTGACTTTTTTGGAAGTAGATCACTAAGCCTTTCTTCCAAGGCACCTCTGGGTGGACTCAAACCTCCAACCTTTCCATCAGCAGTCAAGTGTGTTAACTATTTGCATCACCCAGGGACTCCCATCATTGACCTCCCAAAGAGGCCATTTAAAGTAAATCCACTTAACATAGGGGCCAAAATTTCATAGCACAAAGTAAAAAGAAGATTTAATTCGGACATACATCGTGAGCAATGAAACTAAAAAATGATGAAAACAAGTTTCATTATTTAACAATATATAGACTCCAGTTGCAACTATGAGTTATCTCTAAGAATGAACAAGAGCTAAATCAAGTGTTTGGTTTTGGTTTGGTAGAGTTTTTCCTAACAAAATAGAATGAAACTTTTTTCTCATCCTTGATATTTGCCACACAACCATGACAAGAATTGGTTTGAACAAGAATATCTGAGGGTGTCTTCAACTTTCCCCAGGGCCTTTGGTAATCCTCTGAAACTTGCATCATTCTCTTTTGAAATGACTGTGTCGTCATTATTGTTTTTCTTCTTCAGTTGTTGGTTCTTCTAACTCTGCCAGATACTCATTGTATTACATTATATTGTCAGATATTTACAGCAAAGATGGGGTGACTAAGTGCTTTGGGCCATGTTTTATAAGTGGTGAGTCCTTTGGTGATTAACTTCTCATTACCATCTATATTTGCTTCCCTATCTACGCTGAAACTTCAGAGATTCAAAAAATGAATATCCAAGGGTCCCTGTAATTTACAACATGGGGGCCCTTTTACCCTACTTTTTGTCCTCTTTGCCACTTAATACTCAAGTTGGCTTTTAAACATAACATGCCTTTGTGAGTACTTACATATTTAATGTGGGGCCACTTATCTCTCCAACTAGACCCGGGCTTCTCCATCTCAGCACTACTGACATTCCAGGCCAGATAATTCTCTGTTGTGGGGGCTGTTTAGCAGCATCCCTGCCTTCCATCCACTAAATGCCAGTAGCTCTCCCTTCCCTCACCCAGTTGGGACCATCAGAAATGTCTCTAGACTTTGGAAAATGTCTCCTGAAGGCAAAATTGCCCCTGGCTGAGAACTGGTGAACTGAACCATAAAGCCCTTAACAGCAAACAGTTGTATATTCACTTCTCTTATGTTCCCCGTGGCAACTGCAGTGAGTATCGTGGTGGGAACCACACACTTTGAAACCAGAAAGACCTCGATTCTAATCTTACTTCTGCCACTCCCTAGCTGTGTGACCTTGGGCAAGTTACCTCACCTCTCTGAGCCTCCGTTTCCTCATCTGTAAAGTGGAGCAAATTAATAACTATCACATTGGCCTTGATATAAGAGTTAAAAGAAACCATGTCTGTCACACATTCAGCACAGCTCCTGGCTCTGGTTAAGGCCCAATAAAAGGTAGCTTTTAATATGCACGTACCAGATGCTCACTTACTGCATAATGAATCAATGAATAAACAAGCGAATGCCTATCTTCTTGCCCCTTTTCTATAGCAATGATGACAGTGGCAGTGTGGTGATATTTGGTGGCGTTGATCCTTCTTACTACTCTGGAAGCCTGAACTGGGTGCCCGTTTCTTCTGAGACCTACTGGGAGATCACCGTGGACAGGTGAGATCACTGGGGATGATAACATCCGGGCATGGGGCCCAGATCCCATTTCTTTATGGATTCGGGCTTAACTAGCTTTCCAGAATCCTGCTTCAACAGCTGGCACAGGGAAGTGCACTCTGGGGAGGAGAAGGTAGGAGCTGGTCTCTAGAAGAAACCCCCGAGAAAGGCCCCTCCCTGGAGGAGGGGGCTGTCTGGGAACCCCAGGTATTCTGCAGAGCTGAGACAGACCCGTCCTTCTGGTCAAGGAGACAGGATCATCTACTGGCATTCCTGGGGGGTGGGGTGCTGGAGGACCCAGCCTGTCCACACATCTCATGTTTAGGGACTTGGGGACCAGCACGTGCTCCTCCTTCTCTAGGAAATGTGTCGCTTTCTGTCTAGGGAGAAGGCAAGAGGGCTGAGAAGTTGCTTCAGGCCATTTTTCCCGTTCCTCCTCTCTACAGCCAGACTCCTGCCCCTACCCAGCCCCTCTCCCCAGCTGTTCTTGCTCCTGCCTGGATGCAAGGGTGACCAGTTGTCCAGGTTTGCCTGGGCACTTTCTCAGGAAGTAAGACTTTCAGTACCAAACCAGGACAGTCCCAGGCAAAACAGGACAAGTTGGTCACTCTCTCTGCCCCAACCATGCTGACCCTTCATCAGTTCCTCCAACTCCCGCGCCTGCTCCTCTCATCACCATTCCCTGCATGCCGATTCTTCTGCCGATGATGCTTCCCTCCAGTCCTCACCTCCCCATCTCCTACGCAACCTTTGGGGCTTTGCTTCTCCAAATAGCTTTCCCAGGTTCCTCCCCGCGCACCTACCCTGGTTGTGTTCCTGCCCTGCCCAGCCGGCTCTCTCTATCATAACTTGTCCCTCCAGCTAGAATGGGATTCCCTGCAGTCAGAAACTGTGTGGCTCTGTCTTGTTTATCTTTGCACTGCCCATGCCTGGCACACAGTAGGCACTCAATAAATATTTCTTGAATAAATGAATGCATGAATGGATGAGTGTGTGAATGAGAGAAACACTGAAATTTTATGTATGGGAGAGGACTTTTTTGGATGAGGAGGAGGGACCCTCTGGGGTCACCTGGTTCATCCTTGGGGAGATGTACTCACTTGGGGTTCAGGGGATCCTCACTTGTATCTCGTCCTCAGCGTCACCATAAACGGAGAGACCGTCGCTTGCAGCTACAGCTGCCAGGCCATTGTTGACACCGGCACCTCTCTGCTGGCTGGCCCAACCAGTGCCATTTCCAGTATCCAGGACTACCTCGGAATCAGCGAGGACACCGATGGCGAGGTAAGTCCAGCCCTGACTGCCTTCTTCTCTACCCAGTGGTGGATCCACATGCAGGAAGAACGAAAACCTTTCTAACCCTCCTATCCCTTGCTCTTTCCAGTTGGTGGTCAGCTGCTCGGACGTCAGCAGCCTTCCCGACATTGTCTTCACCATCAATGGTGTTGACTTTCCTCTGAGCCCCAGTGCCTACATCCTGGAGGTAAGGGGGCTCTGGGCCACCTCTTAGACGTGCCCACTCAGAATATGGCCACATATTCAGCTTTTGCACAAGGGAAAGTGCACTTCTACAAGCTGAAACCAAGAGGCAAACTCATATCTGCTCTGCGCAGCCTTCAGAGAAAAAGAACATATTAAAAATAAAGGCATGGATGAGAATTCAGATGCAGCCTCCCAAGGAAAACAGCGAGGCAAAGGATGATGGCGTGGAATGGGGATTTTGAGTTGGACAACTGGGTCTAAGCCTGGGTCTCAATTACTAGCCCATTGATTCTGGGCAAGTCACAACTTCTCTGAACCTCCATTTCCTCATCTATAAACTAGAGATATCAGTTTTCCCCACCCTCGGAGTGTGGCTGGGATAATCAAGTGAGACTGACCCCATCAAAGCTACAAAAGGGTGGGCAGATGGAAGTCATAACTTCCATAGAGTCAAAA